TGGAGCCAAGCTGCCGGCTGTCGGTGTTGGGCTGTGAGAGACAAGGCTTCCCTCCCCGGAGTCTCCAGCGTTCCCCCCCACACCTTCAGCTTCATACAAACCCCTTTTCATTTTGCAGATGGCACCAGGGCGTTCAATTTTGAAAGACCCTGCTACCTTCGTGGTGGGATCTGCCTGAAGCAAGGGACGCCAAACTGTGAGCCCTTCCGAGGCCCCTGCCGGGCGTTCACCATTTGCTGCAAAGTAAAGAGGAGCTGATGGGAGAAGTAGAGCAACCGAGGAGCCCTGACTCCAGGATCCGAAGCATGGCTGCCTTGTCCGAGTAAAAGCAAACAACGTGCGAGTCTCACTAATCAATTGTTGTATTGTTAGGATCGATTAAAGGGACAGTTGTTTTCCATGAAGGGGTAGTCAGTGAGAGGGAGACAATGTAAGAATAAAATTTATATTATGCTTTAAAGGTTGCAAAAGCATTTTCATTCACATACCATGGAATCCTTCGAGTGTTCTGGTTTTTCAGCCCCGCCTCGCAGATGCAGAAACCAGACTCGGTTTAGTTAAATAACAAGATGACACCATCAGTTAAAGGAGCATAATCGAAGACCTTTCTTTTGGCTGGTCTATAAAACGCTATACATGTAGAAGGGAAGTTACGGTTTTCTTGAACAATCGCAGGGAGGCAGAGGAAAGGGTCCCCTAGAGAACAGCGAAGGGATGTGAGAACAGGGTGGTCCTGGGACATGCACGTGCAGCAGGTAAGGTGCCCAGTGGGAAGGCGCTATCGAGGAGCCCAGCGCCGGGGGTGTGGTGCTGGGCACGCGCAGGTGTAGCGAGAGACCCTCCAGAGAGGAACCTCAAGGGCAGCTCAGAAGGCTTACGCTGTGTGGCTCACGCCTGGGATAGGTGTGATTATTGTGTCTTCCTTGTTCACTTTTCTTGTTCAGGGCATGACATCTGCTGTCGTGTCCTGAGTAAGTCGCCTCTCCACTACGAATGTCCCTGTCCTGCCTCTGCAGAGGGAGCATACTTTCTGCAATTTACAAAGCAAACTTGGACGTTGGTGGGGGGAGGAGGCAGGAGGTCGTGCAAGGTGACCGGGAAGCTGGCGTACAAAGAGGACAGATAAGTTTTACTAACATCCCTCCAAAACCTAAACAGTCACAGGACAAAGATGGGAGTGTGACAGGAATTGCGACGACGAGTAATAAAGAGGACCATTTCTACGACCTGGTCCCCATCAATGAACAACTAAAGAAAATTCAGTGCAAGTTTGTACATGAACGACGGACTATTTATTACCAGCTGTAGATCAGCGTTTGTAAAGATATCCAGATACCGATGCAGATGTTAGTTTCCCTGCTGTTCTTCACTGGCACTGACCTCCCATTCAGTCTGCCTGCAGGGGTTACAGGAATTGACTATTCCTGGTCTGTGACGTTAGTTCTAAATTTTATTTATTTATTTATTTATTTGAGAGAGACAGAGAGCACGAGCAGGGGGAGGGGCAGAGGGAGAGGGAGAAGCAGGCTCCCCGCTGAGCAGGGAACCCGATGCGGGGCTCAATCCCAGGACCCTGGGATCATGACCTGAGCGGAGGGCAGACGCCCAACCGACTGAGCCACCCAAGCGCCCCTGTCTCAGCAAATTTACAACAAACAGTACAATGTTGTTAACCATAGTCATGAGGCCCTGCATCAGCTCCACAGGATTTATCCATCTTGCATAACTGAGACTTTGGGTTTTATAACCGGCATCTCCCTGTTTCCTCCATCCCCCAGCACCTGGTGACCACCATTCTTTTCTGTGTTTCCGTGAGTTACAAGGAGGTGATCACAACTGACATCTTAAGGTTCTTCTATTGATCAGGAGAGAGGATAATGTGTTAACTTTAGACTTTTCCTAGTGTGCATGGTAGAATTCCAAGCACAACCTCTAACACAAAAGAAACCTAGTATGTAACTTCCAGGCCAGTAGAGGGAAAAAAAATGGGAAAAGAAAACAAAGAAGCAAGGACTCAATTAACAAAGGCAAAAAAGGAGGCAAAACAACATAGAAAAAGGAAATACGTAGTAAGAATAAAATGTTAGCAATAATCCCTATGTACTAGTAATTACAATAAATGTAAGCCATGAAAAGATGGAAACGATCGGACTGGGAAAGAACTCATTCCAGCTGTATGCTATTTACAAGACACACAAAGTTTAAGGACTTGGAAAGGTTAAGAAAAAAGGAAGAGAACTAGGGGCATTGTAACAAAAAGGTAGCATAGCTGTTTGTCCAGGAAAATAGACACCACACCAAAAAAAAAAAAAACCCTGTTGGGTAAAGAGAGGGTTACTGCATAATGATAAATATTCAGTTACCCAGAAAGATGTAATCATTTTAAATTCGTAAGCACTTGGGTGCCTGGGTGGCTCAGTCAGTTGAGCATCTGCCTTCGGCTCGGGTCATGAGCCTGGGGTTCCGGGATCAAGTCCTGCATCAGGCTCCCTGCTCAGCGGGGAGTCTGCTTCTCCCTCTGCTCCTCCCCCTGCTTGTGCTCTCTCCCTCTCAAAAACAAATTTAAAAAAATTTGTAGGCCCTTAAAAGTGCTTTCAAAATATGTAAGCAAAAATTAATAGAGCTAGAGGAAAAGTGTTACAAATTCACTAATACAGGTAAGATTTTAAATGGTACCATCAATCGTATAGATATCACATATTTTGTATATGGTATGTGTCTTAGTTTGGGCAGCTATCACAGAATACCATAGACCCGGTGTCTGATAAACAACAGCTTATGTATTTATTTCTCACTATTCTGGAGGCTGGAAGCCCAAGACCAAGGGGCTGGCAGATTCCAGGGGTGAGAGACCATTTCCTGGTTCATAGATGGTTGACTTTTTGATGGTAGGAACGAGGAGCTCTCTGGGGTCTCTTCTACAGGGACCTGATCACCTCCCAAAGACTACCCAAATACCATCATGTTGAGGATTAGGTGTCATGATTATGGGGATTAGGCTGTATGAATTTTAGGGGGACACATTCAGTATGACTCTAAAAATCCTAACATAGTTAATCCTTCTGACATTTTAGGAATTTTGATAATAAATATTAAGTCTTTTGATTTTTTCAGTTACACAGGCAATGCACACTTGTTCTGTATGAAACACTCAAAAACTAAAAATTATAGAGAAAAAAGTTATAATCTATTTTCATGCCTCCACTTAGATTATCAATTAGTTTTTCTCCAGATGAATAGTCAATCAACTCTACATGATTGATCAGAGAAATAGTCCACTGCCCTCCTTCCCCACTCACATAAAGGCTACCTTTATCATAAACTGAATGTTGGTGTCCGTGTGGTCTGTGTCTTCTTTGTTCTGGTGTGTTTTTTTTTCTGGGAGGGAGGGGGACTCTGCCACATATTTCAAGCCTCACTGTCATTATAAACAATAATAACTGGTGGAAGTTATTATTGGTGGAAGACACCATTGTTACTCTTTATAAAAATATTCTTGTTTATTCTTACACATTTTCCCTGTACAGTGAATTTTTTTTTATTATGTTCACTTAGCCAGCATACGGTACATAATTAGTTTTTGATCTGGTGTTCAGTGGTTCATCAATTGTGTACAACACCCAGTGCTCATCACCACATGTACCCTCCTTAATAACCATCACCCGGGTTACTCCATTCCCCCAGCCCCTTCCCTTCTGTAACCCTCAGTTTGGTTCCCGGAGTCCGGAGTCTCTCATGGTTTGTCTCCCTCTCTGATTTCTCCCCCTTCGGTTTTCCCTCCTTTCCCCTGTGGTCCTCCCTGCTGTTCCTTATGTTCCACAAATAAGTGAGACCCTGTGATAATTGTCCTTCTCTGCTTGACTTATTTCACTTAGCATTATCCCCTCCAGATCCATTCATGTCAATGCAAATGGTAGGTATTCATTTTCTGATGGCTGAGTCATATTCCATTGTATATATGAACCACATCTACTTTATCCATCATCTGTTGAAGGACATCACGGTTCCTTCCACAGTTTGGCTATTGTGGACATTGCTGCTATATACAGTGAATTTTTACATTGGCTGGGATAATATCATGAAAACCTTTATTTTTAAGCCCTACTGTCTACATTATCACTAGTCTATGGGAAGTGACTATTTAGCCAACTTATTATTCTTTTAAAATGCATAATATTTACTGGATTCTGAGAGCCAATCCTTATGTAAAGAGACAAGTGGACTATCTCACAGCAGGAAAGAACCCAGAATCTGGACCTGGACTTCTGACTCTGATTTTGATTTCACCACATACAAGTTTTATCACTGTACTAAATATCTCTAGTCTTATTTTCCTCATGTGTACATTTAGGGATCATATTAGGACCTGCATAAAGTAAGACTACTTTGCTTCTGGCTGCAGGAAGGTGATAGTAATCCCCTTCAGTACCCTCTTCCTGATTGATTCTACTTACGTATGTAAGTGTAAGGCAAGTTATCAACCATTATCTAGGGAGAAGAGGGAAATGTATGAAAATCCTTGAGTCAGCCACTCCTGAGGACACTTGTTGTAGACAAGTGTTCATTCAGAATCAGGGGGATCATTGTTTTGTGAGGAATCCAAGATTTTCTGGGTGAGGCTTTCCTGAGCTCTGTGAGATTCTGGGTCAGGATCAGCTAGCCAAAGCCCAGTAACAGAGAAGAGAGACAGCAGGTGAAGTAAAATGTGAGGGGTAGGTTGCACTAAATCCCTGGCCTCAAGACAAGGGCCTAATTTAGGAAGAGAACTTGTTCTTCTTCAGGCTTTGGTTAAGGAGGAAAGCCCCTCTGCTTTCACCTATGCTGGAAACTATGTTTGCTTGGCAGGACAAGAGCCAAGAACACGAGCTTGTCTCAGTCATGAGACATCACCGTGGCCGGGACAGGGACCTGAATCAGCAGGGTCATTCCTGGAACAGGAGAATTTCCCTGGTGAGACGAGGCAGGACCAGTCCTTATTAAGGAGACATGACATGGCTGGGCACAGAACAGACTTCAGATCTCTGGAGACCAGAAGGCCCACCTCTTCAGGGGGATTAGGGCCTTGGGAGGTGAGTCATAAGAGGTAGGTGATGGTTTTCATTCTATGAAGCACTAGAGAGATGCCTGGAAAAATACAAGGTCTTATTGTGACTGTATTTGGACTTGGAGTTGCAGTAGCAGATTATACTCGTTCCCTGAGAATAACTGGGAAAAAAAAGTCATACGAACCATCCCAGGTTTTTCATAGGGTAAATGTTCCATGAATCCTAGTCATTTTCATTTTACTACCATTACTGTTCTTCCTGGGGCCTTGATTTGTTAAATGCTAACAAAAGAAATTACCCCAGCCCTGCACCAAACGTTGCTAATCGCCGTCCTTGTTTATTTTACGGGCATTCATTGTCCACTATATATTTCAGTTAGTGCTCGGATCACAATGGACATTCTCTTCCGCGTTTAGTCACCTCAATCAAACTTATAAAAGAGGAGGCTCTAAACGACTTTTTATTCAACCCCATTACACTGCCATTTGTCTTCTCTTTTCAAGGAACTTCGAAGAGGTCTCCACGGACTCGGCACTATGAACCTATTTCTCCTTCTCGTCTTCGTCGTCCTCTTCAACTCTCAAGTAATGCCAGGTAAACCCTCCTTGGTGTATCCTGAAACCGTGCCCTGCTTTCTTGTTCAATCTGATGACATTCACAGATATGCTCTCCTTTCCTGAAGCTTCCCCCTGCGGAGGTGTGTTTGAACTCACATTCACCACCCTCATTCTCCAGATACCGTGTATAGTGACTGGCTGTAAGAGCCGGAAAGGAGGAACCAGAGAGGTTTTCCAGAAGGAGGCAATGTATTAAGAACCATGGCATTTTGGAAGAAACTTGAAGGTGCATTCTGCTCCAGGTCTTGAGCAAGGGGTGGCAAGAAGAGAGGGAGAGAGGGAGGCAGGGGCCTGCCTGGTGTTCATTCCTGACATCACAGAAGTGCTGAGTATCATGGAACAGCTCGGGGGCTTTAGAGAGAACTACAGTTGCTTGGATTTGGGGGGAGAAAATTGGCTTGCGTGGGTGAGCACCGTGAGGGTCTGTCAGGTCACTGAGAGTTTGAACCTTGCTTCCCCCAGAAAGCCAGCCATTCTCCCATATTGCCATGTTGGGCTTGGCGCTCACCCACCTGAATCCCCCACCTCTACTTTTCTCCTCCTCTAATATTCTATCTTTACACAAATAAATTCACCCAATCGGATGGTCCACTCCTGGGTCTCACTGCTTGGGGCTCCCGTGTCCTCTAGAACACCACTTCACAGAACTGACCGATGAGAAGCCAAGGGGACAGGAGCTGGGTAGGGCAGCGTACCCCCTTTCTGCTTTGGGTCAAGAAGAGTCTGTTCACTGTGGACCCACTGGGCATGATGACTGGTTTTGTTGCATCACTCAGAATAATGGCGCAACCTCAGTTTCCTCACTGGGCTGATTTTTCACCCAAGAGCCGAGGAGAGTAGATTATGGTGGGCTGTGAGAGAATGTGTTTGGGGAAGAAGAAGGAGAGAATCACAGGCTGCTCCCAGCGTGACTCTTGGTGACCGAGCTAGGGCAGGGATGCCAGTGTCCCTGGGGTTGGGGAGCCCCGATGTCAGAGCTGGCTTCTGTGGTCACAGCTTCTGTGACGAAGACAGGATGGGCAGGGGGCCTTTCACGATAGCCTCGACCCTGTGGCATGAAGATAGGGTGCAAGAGCCCACCCTAAGCAGGTTTATGAAAGCTCCCTGCTAAAAGCCCCCTTCTAACGACTTGCCCCAGTAGAAGGGGACAGGTTGAAGACAACGTAAACAGAGCTGGGATCCACAAATGGGGTGAAGTAAGGGAGTAAACCTGCCTCCCACCCTCGAGTTGTTCCACAAAGGGTGTGTAAGGCCCTATCACTAGTCCGAGGCCCCATGAGGTGTGCAGCCTGGGTCTGAAGTTGGTGACTTCTGTTAATGATCCACGGTGGGCAGGCTGGGCGATAGGGAGCACGGAGGCCCTTCTTTCTCCGGGCTGAGTGCAGGCTTTCTTTCCTCCACCTTCTAAGAGGCGGGGAGAGAAGTCTTCCTTCTTCAGGCCTGGCTTTGAGTCAGGTAGGATTTTTTCCCCTCTTTTGGAAACCTTTCTTAACTCAGCCGGTGCCCCTGGTTATTCTGGGTCTTTCCTTTTAGGGACTTGAATTTTAGATCTTTAATCCTATTTTTAAGACATAGCTGATAAACCCTGAAGGCAGGGATGCTAAGCCTGGGAATTAGGGGTGGACTTGAGAGAGCTGGTGACATTCCTTAAATGCTTTGGGGCACACTGTGTGAGTACACTTTTGTATTTGACCCAGTACGTACGTAGGTCTTCCTTCCCCAGACGGGGGCTGTAGTGTCATCTCATTCTGAATGGAATCCTCTCCCGGGAAGATGAAAACCAAAGTTTTAATGTATTGCTTCCAAAGGACATTGGCAATCCCATCATCAGTCTCCAGGGTGAACACTTGCCACTCTGCGGCATATCAACCCCGGAGGAGTATTTGAAGTCTTTGATTTCAGCCTCCAATTAACAGCATAATTTCTGTTCTTCATGAGCTCTTAAAGGCTGGCAGGGTCTTCCTGTTGAACAAGCCAGCAGGAGCGACAAGGCAGGGAGGAGGAGGAGCGTGGGACAGCGTACGTTCTTGACGTAACGACGGTTGGGGGTTCCTGGTTGTTTCTTCCCCTGTATGGGGGCCTTGAGTCTTTCTTCCAAAAATAAACCATTTTTGCTCTTTCTACAGGTTATAGGCACGGTGAAGTGTATCATTTCTGTGACTCACATACAAGCGTGTGCCTGAGGAGGAAAAGAAACTGTATGATTCGCATGCCGGGGATATGCCCCGGAAGGAGCTTCTGTTGCATAAGGATGCATAAGTGAATGGAAGAATTCGTGTTTAATGAATCTACCCTGAATTAAGTAAACTGAAGAAGTCACGCTTAATGGACCTACCCTGAATTAAATTGGAAGGCTGAGGTCTCATGATACCATTTTCTTCATTCAGTGATTCATTTATTTTGTTGGTACCTCTCAAGCACCTACTCTGTGCTAGGAACTGTCGTGGCGTACTGGGGGCGGGAAGCATGGGTTCAAGGTATGTTCTGCTAAGAAAACTCACACACGTGGAAATCATATCCACGTTGGGTGGTTCAAAGATGTCTTCCCCGTGAATGCCATATATGAGCCGAGTCTTTAAAAAAAAGTGGGTAAGAATTAGTGAGGGGAAGTTGAAGGGGAGGTGGGGTGTGTTTCATTGTGAAGGTCACTATCACACACACGTGCCCATCTCACGGTAGGGGGTAGTTCGAGAACCACAATGTGATGAAATGAAAGTAGAGAAGGTATGGTCAATAGAAGCAGGACTTCAGATGCTTAAGAAATTTTACTTTATCTTTGAAGCTTTAGGGAAACAACAAAAAATTTTAAATGGAGGTGGGGAAGAGGGATTGACTTACACCCTTATGGTTCCTTGGCAATTTATGTTTGGGTTGTAATTCAACACTTCATTTTTTTTTAATTTTTAAAATTTTATTATGTTATGTTAGTCACCATACAATACATCATTAGTTTTTTTAAATTTTTTTATTGTTATGTTACTCACCACACATTACATCATTAGTTTTTGATGTAGTGTTCCACGATCCATTGTTTGCGTATAACACCCAGTGCTCCGTGCAGTACGTGCCCTCCTTAATACCCATCACTGGACTAACCCATACCCCCACCCCCTCTCCTCTAAAACCCTGTTTGTTTCTCAGAGTCCATCGTCTCTCATGGTTCACCTCTCCCTCCAATTTCCCCACTACATTTTTCCCTTCCTTCTCCTGATGTCCTCCAGGCTATTTCTTATGTTCCACAAATAAGTGAAACCATAGGATGATTGACTTTCTCTGCTTGATTTATTTCACCTAGCATATTCTCCTCCAGTCCCATCCATGTTGATGTAAAAGTTGGGTATTCATCCTTTCTGATGGCTGAGTCATATTCCATTGTATATACGGACCACGTCTTCTTTATCCATTCATCTGTTGAAGGGCATCTCAGCTCTTTATTTTTTGGTGACGTTGTTTCCAGTTGGCCATTGAGAGCTCTTCCAGGTCTCTCTTGGGTCCTCTCAACGTGCCCCATTTTCTGAGCGTTTTGTTATTTTATGGCACTATAAGATACTCCAGCTTCATTTTGCATTTTCTCAGCCCCAGTCCTGGAGTGAGTTAATTCCTCGAGGATCCTTGGTTCCATCTACAGAAAATGGTATTTGGAAACAGAGATCCAAGGGGTACCTGGCTGGCTTAGTTGGTAGAGCATGCGACCTTAGATCTCAGGGTCGTGAGTTCAAGCCCCACGTTGGGTGTGGAGGCTACTTAAAAAAAAAAAAAGACATTTAAAAAAAGAAACAGAGATCTGAGTACTCCGTGTGCTCATTGCTGCTGAGATGGCACAGATTCTCATTTCTCTCTGACTACATTTAGGAAACATGTATGGATATTAATTCATTTATATACACACCTGTATATATTTTTGTATCTCTCTGTGTATGTATTTTAAAAACCCATGTTCCTCCTCAGTGTCTTCAATTTCAATCCAGCACCACGGTGGTCCTTCTCATCTCCCTCTTTTTTAATTTATAACCTTTTTTTTCCTCCACCAGTGACAAGACTGGCTCTTACTTACAGTGCATTTTCTCCTTTGTTCAACTCTTATATGTACAAGTAGTTTTAGAATTGCTAATCCAAACAGCTGTGAGAAACAGATCTAATAACCAGAGTCCAGTTCTTGTGTAAGGACTTTTCATCTTTAGTCTTGGATTATCAGGTCAAAACAGTTCCTCAAAGTTAGTTAGGTCAGTTCTTTCTTCCCCGCTGCATTTAGTGTGGTCATAGGATTAATCTGCAATACTGTTAGAGTCATTTGTTGTAGTCAGCATTTCATTTTTCTGCCCACATCGAGCTAATATTTTTTTAATTTATGTATATAGTAAAAATTAAACTTTGTGGTGTAGCATTCTAAAGGATTTGCAAATGCAGAGTTCAGTATTCACCACCATTCATCTATACGGGGCAGTCCCTCACCTCCAATTCCCTGTACCATCTATACGGGGCAGTCCCTCACCTCCAATTCCCTGTACCGGTCCTTATTGTCATCCCCTCTTGTGACCCCTAACCCGTGGCCAGCACTGACCTGGCTTCTAACCCTACAGTTTTCTTTTCACGAGTGCTATATAGATGGAATTAAATAATCTGTAGTCTTTATAGCTGGCTTCTTTAACCCAGCAGAAGGCCTTTGAGATCCATTCATGTTACTGGAATCAATCAGTTGTTCCTTCTTATCGTGGCCTAGGATTCCATTATCTGATGTGCCATAGTTAATTCACTAGTTGAAGGACATCTGTGTTGTTAACTATTTTTGGCAAACATAAATTAAGCTGCTATGAACGTTTACATACAGGTGTCTAATGGGAATGTAAGTTTCCATTTCCCCTGAGTAAATACCCAAGAGTGGGATTAATGAGTGATATGACAAGCATACATTCAACTTTATAAAAAACTGCAAAATGGGACGTCTGGGTGGCTCAGTCGATTAAGCAGCTGCCTTCGGCTCAGGTCATGATCTCAGGTTCCTGGCATCGAACTCTGTGTCGGGATCCCTGCTCAGTGGGGAGCCTGCTTCTCCCTCTGCCTCTGCCGCTTCCCCTGCTTGTGCTCTCTCTCTCTCTCTCTGACAAATAAATAAATAAAATCTTAAAAAAAAAAGAAACCGCTAAATGAGCTTCCAAAGTAGCCTTACAACCTCGCATCCCCAGCAGCAGTGTCCAAGAGTTTGATTTGTTACCAAAAGAAAGTCACTAAGAGAAGAGATGACAAATCGGATTCTGTTTCAAAATGAGAATAACTTCCTGCTGAAGATGGCATTTCCCCTTCCAATCAGCAGGCTTCTGCTACGCAGTCCAAATCTTATCTCTGCGGAAAACCATTCCTTGGATTCTAAGAAAATGTTTCTAACGGTATCCGCTATTTGGAAAGGCATCTTTGGAGAGAGGAAAATAATCACTACCTTGCTAAGTCTTGATTCTCTGTGAAACAGTGGGTTGATTTCTGTAATCTCTGAGTTCTGATTCTATGGCCTGATGCCTGGGTACCAGCTTTGAGCTTTCTGCACCTTTAGGCCCTTCTGATCAATTTATTTCCCTGGCTCTTCAATAATCAACAGGGAGCCATTGCTTGATAGCCAACAGTCATTAAGGTGTATGAAAATGAGAACAAAATCTCAGTGACTTTTCCCACATATTGTCAATACACGCACGTATGCACGAGCATGCATGTGCGCGCATGCACACACACACACACACACACACACACACACACCCCTCAAGCTCTAATCCTCAATCCATCAATTGATAGATGTGTATGAGCAGATTACAGGGGGCTTGGAGAACTATTTGAAGAGTTACAGGTAGGGAAGCAGCGACATAGAAAAGGACAAGCCTTGTCCAAAGTCAGTCGGGGAATTAGTGGTGGGTACCAAGCTCAGAACTTCAGTCCCACACGCCCCTCCCCTCCACTGTGCACCCCGAAAGACCCGATGCAGGACACACGTGAGTGGTGATATTTTTATTCAGCAGAGGTCAGCAGGGGTGAGGCGGCCATGCTGCCCCGAAGAGTTCCCGGGGGTGGATGCTAGAGACGACAGCAATGCTTGTTCCGACTTCTACATTCTGCAGGCAGGATGGAGCATCCGTGGGTTTTTTGGTGCTTGCAGACACCACCCATTTTTTCACATTCAAGGAATCGCCCCCTTTTCTCATGCCCTGGAAAGGAAAGAGAGGTGACAAAAAATATAAAACCATAAAGCGTGTTTAACCGTTTGTATGGACAAAACCGTCCATCTACCTGTTCTGGTGTGACCCATCAGCTTAGAATAGTTTTTATTTATTTTTTTAAATGGTAGAAATAACTTCAGAAGAAGAAAAATATTTGGTGATATGTGAAAATTATATGAATTCAAATTTTAGTGTCCATATATAGTTTTATAGGAAGACATCCACCCTCGTTCATTGACATATTGTCTGTGGTTGCTTCTCACGAAGGTCATAACAAACCCTGTGGCCCAGAAAGCCTAAAATACTAGCTGGTCCTTTACCAAAAAAGTTTATTGACCTGTGCCCTATAGTGTCTTTCTTTTTCAAATGAAGGAACTTTAGATCGGAGAAAGCAAGTGACTTGGCTGAGCTACAAGATTAGGGACATACTCTGCATGTTCTTCATAAAAGCTTCCCAACATGCCTTCCTCTTTTTCAAAAGGGCAAAATCTTAGAAGCACGTTGCCCAAGTTAGACAATGAGCATTGGACACTAAGTGGGCATTCTCGCTCCTGAATACCGTCCCCCCCATCTCCCATGCAACCAGAGCTGTTTCGTACACTGTGACATTTTCAATGCCACCAACATGGCACATAGCAAGCACTGGTCTTCCTGGGCTCCTGTGAGGTAAGCTGAAAGAACATGGTATGTGATCAAGCCACCTGACTAGCGAAATTCAGAATGCAACTTGAGAGTAGTGAGAACCTGAACGATGCCTCAAATTAGGAGAGCAAGAAGGAGAACGACAAGCAGCCACAAGGAAACTGTGAATAAGAAGAGTTTTCGACTCCTTCCACAGTCTGACTATTGTGGACACTGCTGCTATGAACAATGGGGTGCAGGTGCCCCTTCTTTTCACTACATCTGTGTCTTTGGGCTAAATACCCAGGAGTGCAATTGCTGGGTCGTAGGGTAGCTCTATTTTTAATTTTCTGAGGCACCTCCACACTGTTTTCCAGCGTGCCTGCACCAATTTGCATTCCCACCAACAGTGTAGGAAGGTCCCCCTTTCTCCGCAACCTCGCCAACATTCATATGTGGAACATAAGGAATAGCCTGGAGGACATTAGGAGAAGGAAGGGAGAAATGAAGGGGGGAAGTCAGAGGGGGAGACGAACCAGGAGAGACGATGGACTCTGAGAAACAAGTTGAGGGTTCTAGAGGGGAGGGGGGTGGGGGATGGGTTAGCCTGGTGATGGGTATTAAGGAGGGCACGTTCTGCGTGGAGCACTGGGTGTTCTGCACAAACAATGAGTCATGGAACACTGCATCAAAAACTACATAATGATGTATGGTATGGTGACTACCATAACATAATAAAAAAATAAATAAAAAAGAAGTTTCCAGCAGAGGTTATGGCTTTTAAAAGCACCATGTTGTGATAGGAAGCATACTCTGCCAGGAATTAGGAGACCTGGTTTCTGGTTCCTGCCAGGACCATAGTTTTCCTCTGAGAGCCACAGAACCTCCTAATTTTTCATAAGAAGACAAGGTAATATATATATATATGTAATCATAAATTTTATATGTAATACATACACTTATAAATATGAATGAATATATGCAAATACGTTGTGTTCATGTATGTTTACAATTGATCTCATTGATATAAATCTATATTCATGTATATTCAGATCTGTGTCTCTATCTATAGCCAACTGTCTATGTCCCTTAGGCTGTTCACCAAATAGGTCTGGCCCCCGATGTTCTTGACAAAGTAGGATTTAGCTTTTGTATGATTGGGTAGAGCCATAAGACTTGCTCAGTTCATAAATTTTAATCAGAAGTGATGTGTCCTTTCCGGGCTAGAGCCCATAACTGACAATGTGGGATTCCTCAGCGCTCTTCTCTTTGACACGGCAACCAGCCACGCTCATGGCAGAGGCTGTTCCGTCAGCCAGGTCCGGGCAGCTGCAGTAACAGCCATGATGGGTTTGTATCACTGAAGCAAGAATTAAACTATGACTCTTTCAAGATGCCGAGGTTGAGACCACAGCATAACCTGGCACGTGCTGACACATGCGTAGGGTTGCCGGGTAAAATGTAGGAGATCCACTTAAATGTGAATTTCAGAAAAATAACATACTCTTTTAGTACAAGTGATTCCAAATATTGCATGGGATGTACTCCTACCAAAAAGTATTTGACGTTTATGCATAATTCGGTAAGTAAATTTATTCTCTGGGATTGTTGAGTATTTAATAAAAACATCATCTGGCAACAAACCCACTTAAGCTTGAGTCAAATGCCCCACTACGTACAACCTGAGTGACCTTGAACTAGTTACTTCATATCTCAGTTTCATTTGCGAGCCAGGGAATACTTACCCATAAATAGTGTTATGAAGTACGTGTGGGACAGGACATTAATAGTTTTTATTGTGATGTTTGGTAAGGAGTGAGTGGCCAATATCTCTGCTATTATTATTAGTGTTGTTGTTATTCACATGAAAATAATTTGTGAGCTGTCAAGCCCCTGTAAATGTTATCTATCACCATTACTACTTATGGGTTTACTACCAACTAGTTAAGAGCAATCTTAGGAAAATCGTTTAAATTTTCTTAAGCTTCCCTTCTCCTTATTTGTAAAATGGAGCATGTAGTGCATGCTCTCCTTTCAGCTGTGATATCACACAGTTGTTGTATACTCCAGGGCATCTTTGGATCATGAGTCAATGTGGCTCTATTCCTCTCCACGGCCATCCGTCGTAGCATCCTACCAGGAAGAGCCGTGGCTTACCTGATGTCATCTGGACAAGACACACAAGGAAGAGAAACAGAAGGAACAGTAGCTTCATGATGGGAAGTCAATTCTTGGGATTACAGGAGGAACTCCCAAAGCCAGATGGTGGCTCTTTCCTCAGTGTGCATCAGTGGGGGTGGGTGATCTGGAGAAAGAGTAAAAAACTCAGCTAGAGAGGGAAAGCTTCTATTCCCAGTCAAGATGTTTGTTCCTCGAGGGCCTGGGTGTGACTGGAGAATGTTTCATCTATGGACACATAGTTACAGATCCAACTTTCCTCCCCTCACAAAGGAAGATCTTTACAGTAAGTCAGCACTTTCTAGTTGATTTTCACTTCTGCTTATGACTCTGAGGCTTGGTGCCTTTTTTTTTTTTTTTTTGAGAAAAAAAATCACTAAAACACGGAATTCTTTTAGCAAATCATCTATCCAGCCATTCACTTTTATGGCGCGTCTCTCCACCTGACAGCTTCCCCTTTAGGAGTACCAAGAGAAGTCCCCTTTTTAGAAGTTAGAAAGGGAGAAGGAATTTTGTAAATGGCCCTGATCTCTGCTTTTCTACTCCCAATAATTTCTTTTCTCTGCTACCCATTTAAGACAGAGTTGATTCATTCTAGGCAAGCTTTTAGAATGCCAAGCTCTTGCATAGATCAAACCAGGTGAGACTTTAGGGGCCAGAGTGTTAATACAGATATTGCATCAGAGTATCCTCGTGGGAAAGGAGTTAGGTAGTAGTGAAGTATACAAGGTAAACCATTGAACTATTCCTCTCCCTCTCTCCCCTCTCTCCTTCCCAGCTTTGCTTCGTATTGTTTCTAGGTCTCTTTTTCACCATACAGTGAATTTCTAAAGGAACAAGTCCTGTTGTATCACCTCCCATTCTCAGTACCTGGATCAGTGCCCTGGCATAGAGCGGGGAGCCAAATATTTGTTTAAATGAATGTGTGCTTGTGTGGATGAATGAAAACGTGGATGCGTGAATAACAAGATGGGGGAAGGAAATAAAGGAGGGAGGGAGGCAGGACGGACAGACAGACGGAGGGATGAGAAGAGGACACAGGGCACTAGACTTCTCTGCTTATCTAACACCGGTCACAAAGGTCAGGGAGTCAAAAGATAGATGGCTACTGAGAGCAGACATCAAAGAAATCATCCAGACTCAGAAGTAAGCAGTGATCTTTCGGGGAATAGAGACAAAAGAGTTTCACTTAATATTTAGAGAGCTTTGGGGTCGGATAGACACCGGTTCAAAGTCTTTGCTCCACCACTCGCTAGCTGAGTGACCTTGAAATAACATTTCAAGCTCCAGTTTCTCCTTCTGTACACTTGATGATGGATAGAGTACCACTCTCCTAGCCCCATCACGGTAAGAGGATCTTAGGAGAAGTCAGTGGCTAACCAATACCTCTTTGCGCCGAGCAGTGTTTTAACTAGGATCACTGTCAGGGGTTTCAACCTACAGGGTGAGGAGGGATTTTTTAGGGTTCCAGAAATCATACAAGATGTTAGTTTCTTCCAACAACATCTGCAATGTCTCAGAAAAACACTGCAATTTAAAAACTCGAATTTGGCTATTGTGGTTTTGTTGAGCCCATGGAACTAGAAGCTTGTAGTGAAACTTTGGCCACTTTTGGCATGGAAGATAGACAATCTTGAAAAAGAACCTGGAATCGTAGGTCCATACACACAATTCCCCCTTGGATTTCATTTATTAAATGCAACTATTGCTTAATAAGTTTGCATAATTTAATAGAATAATATTTAACCTCTTTTGATCTTCAGTCCAGTAATAGAATGGGACAAATTTTTCTGGAATACCTATTATGTGCTAGGAATCTTAGAAATGATATCTTAGTTCATACAACTGCCGTGTGAGATAGATATTTTCCCTAAGCAAATAAAACAAAAGCAGGTTGTGCATCTAGTGATAGAGCCTGGATTTGTACCCTTCGAACTTATTTTACAGACTTTGCTGCTGAAGAAAGCATGATGGCGTTTGCCAGATAAAGGAATGTAGCTACAGTAGGATACATAAGTGTGTGTGTGCGAGAGCTTGTGTACTTGTGTGTGTGAGAGAGAGAGGGAGGGCAGAGGGGGAGAGGGAGGGAGGGAGGGAGGAGGGGAAGAGCATGAGCGAGGGGTTCCAATTAAAGGTTTTCTAAATTACCCTCTTCTATCAACAAAGAACATGTGGCACAGATCAGGCTGGTGCTCCCTGAGCAAGTTGACCAAATAATTCATCATCCAAACTGGGACACTTTGTAAAATGCAAGGGACTTATTACTAAATTATGCTGGAAAAACAGGCATATAAACTGGGGGCTGTCTCAGGCCATCTGAGGTATTGTTATCCTCTCTCTAAGAAAATGTCTTTGTTAATAAGCACACATTTCTTTGCTGACGGTCAGGAAAAGCCTCAAAGCTGATGGTCCTCCTACAGTGCTCTCTCATCCCTGTTCTGGAATGACCAAGAGCACATCAGCTGGCCACAAGGGGCTCCTAGGTCATGGCGACTGTTCAGGGCCTTGGCTTGTCTGTGCTACTCATCCTTTGCCCATTTTCCTCTCTCAGCCCAAAGGCTATGGGAGGATGAACCTTGGAAAAGATAGCAATCCCTCCGTACGTTTGGAAGTAACGACATCAACTTAATGAGTAAGCTTTTCTGACTTTATACTAAGGTGATACACACTTTTGCTTCTAACAAACCCCATTCACAATCCTGTGCTGGTATAGATAGCATTATCACAGACAATTATTAATCTGGGAGGAGACCCGAGAGGGGTCCCTTGCTTCCCATTCTTGGTGGTACAAGTTGATCCACCATCTGTAACCCTCATCACACTAAGATCATGTCAAATTCTTTTTGGAGAAAGGTTGGAGTATCAGTAAATGACTTCTTCTTGTGATCTGCATTTGAACCTTTCACTAAGTAGAGATCTATTTCAGTTTAGCGATATTGACCTAAAAATTGAATAAGTGTTTGTAGAAATCTGTTTAAATAAGTCACACTTAATTCTACACCAGACGCTGTGAGGGTTTTACTTCCTTGGTCCCTGGAACATTACTTTTATAATAATACTAATAATTGCAATAATAATAGAAGAAGAAAAGATAGGCTGAAGGTTTTTGCCTGATCTCCAACACTTGTACACTGAAAGCTATCCTTTGTATCAATTCCCTAAATATCATGCAGATATTCCCATTCCTTCTTCAACCACTGATGGCTCTCTCCTGAAAAATCTACCTTGCAGTTGGTTCCTTCACCGTTCACAGGCTGTCAGCTGCCTGGTCCTTCCAGCAGCTGGGAGCAGCTACCCACTGCCACATAATTAGGGGTCAGATCAACAATGGGCAGAGGGAGGGTTGGGTGAAGTCACGCAGGATGCATTGTGATCCCTTCCTGACAGGAGTCATTTTGGTGGGAGGAGGGGAATGAGCCAGATCTGAGTGGTATCAAACCCCCAGAGAAGGAGAAGAGGAAGTGGGGACTGTCTAGACACTCCTTCCAAAGGGTTTTGCTGAGAAACTAAGCAGAGCCCAAAAATTAAGAGCTGGTCAGTGATGTAGTGTCAAAGAGAGTGCGTGTGTGTGTTTAGTCTTTATGGATTCAGTGGAGGGGGCAATGGGGAGAGCATTGTTCACGAGTAAGCAAGAGAAAGAAGAAGCAGGACCCAAGTGGAAAGGTTGGTCTTAGACCAGAGCATAAGCCCATTAGTTCATGATTCCCATAGAAAAGCCAGCCTCTTCTTGCTACTGTAATCAGAAAGGTATTCCTCCCGTGTGAGAGTCATAATAAGACACGTAGGAATGTTATGACAATAAAACATTAATAGATTTCATAGGGTAAAACTTGAAAGTTTAGAAAAAATTAAAATCCCCGTAGAGAAGACGATAAAAGTCCAGTAAACAGGAGAACCAAATCACATTTAAAATCAGATAAAGGCTACTCGATCATAAAACAGGCTAAAACTAAAGAATAAAGGGACACGAGTCGTCCGAGGTGTTACATCAAGATAACAAACAGGGCCAAGGAGATGAAAAGGAGGACAAGCTTGGGGCTGTTAGTTAATGAACAGGAATTCAGAACCAGGAGCAAAAATGGAAAATTTGAACTGGAAGTAGAAGAAGGATTTTGGAAGCCAGGGAAGTGTCAGGAAACACAGAAAACACTCAAGTTTTGCTTTCAGAGCCTGGGCTAAGGAAAGCTGCTGAAGGGTTTCAAGAAGATTAATGTTGAAAGTCTGATCTGTAAGATCCCTTTCACGTTGTTGCAAAGGAATTCTTGGGGGGGGGGGGGGGGGGAAGAGCTTAACGTGGCCCCTCAGACGAAGAGACCCTGGGAGACAGGAGCAGGATCCCGAGGGTGTGGTTTCACTCCCTTTCGCATGAGTCTTGAGGGGCAGGTGACACAGGGACACTCGGGGGGAGGGGACGTTGGCAGAGGCACCACTGGATTTTGTGTGAATAAATATAAAACTGTGTACGATCTTTTCAACAATGGTGGCAATCTTCCATTATTTTGTCTGTGTCATTAAATAAATCCAGGTGTCGGATCTCTGGTGTTAACACCTTGTATGCTCACAACATATAATTTTTAAGTAGAAAAATAAGACTTTGTAGTTTGAGACCTGAATACCTTAAAAACAACAAAACGCCATAGGAAACAGAGGAGTGACTTAGCACTGAGAATCCAAACCATTTATTCAGGGAAGCTTCTCTCCAAATAGGGAAAGTGAGATGATCATTTATAAATGCTGAGTAAGCATCAGCATTGAAGGCAACAGTGCCGGCCTTTCTCAAAAACAGTGCTGACTACTGGGTATTTACCCCAAAGATACAAATGTAGGGACCCGAAGGGGTACGTGCACCCCAATGTTTATAGCAGCAATGTCCACAATAGCCAAACTGTGGAAAGAGCCAAGATGTCCATCGACAGATGAATGGATAAAGAAGAGGTGGTATATATATACAATGGAATATTATGCAGCCATCAAAAGGAATGAGATCTTGCCATTTGCAATGACGTGGATGGAACTGGAGGGTGTTATGCTGAGTGAAATAAGTCAATCAGAGAAAGACATGTATCATATGACCTCACTGATATGAGGAATTCTTAATCTTAGGAAACAAACTGAGGGTTGCT